TTCCCATTTTTTATTGTTTTAATCCCTTTGTATCTTCTTTTATTCCTTTCTTATTTTCCCTTTCATATTATTTTCCWACTCAAAACCTGCAAACTCTTAGAAATGCATTCATCATTAAGTTGCGGTTGTACAACTTCTCCACCCTTGATGTTGTTCCTTTWTTCCCTAGGTGGCAAAGAAATTGTGTTTCAAACTGGACCAGAGCATCCTTGGCTTGTAAGAGCATACACTGATGTTGCACCCTACCCCTGTGCGCAAGTWATTGGCCAGGAAATCTTCCAGGGTGGCTTAATACCTAGTGATACTGATTTYAGGATCTTCAGAGATTATGGAAAAATCCCAGGCATTGATATTGCTTATCATTCAAATGGATATGTCTATCATACATTTTACGACACCCCTGCTGCAATAACCAATGGCTCAGTCCAGAGGGCTGGGGAGAATGTGTTTGCTGTTGTCATGGAGATGGCAAATTCACCATTACTACAAGACCCTGGAGAGTATCGTCATGGTGCTATGGTGTTTTTTGATTTTGTTGGTCTGTTTATGGTTCATTATCCAGCAAGGATTGGTGTTATTGTGAATAGCGTGACATTTGTTGCGGCTTCTCTCTTTATAATCAACAGATTTCTTGTTTTAAGTAGGAAACCAGAATCTTCTAGTTCTGAAGGTATTATTTCTWTATTTGCTCTTTGTATTATATTGATATTTCTTTTTGTTAGCAGTGTTGTTGAAGTAAAAACACAAGAACCATTATAAAATTATGAATTAGGATATGTCTCCTTTTAATAAACTCTTGCGCAACTACTATTCGCCACTCATGTCCCCATAGGAAAAACAAACAAACAGTTTTTACCACTGACAATGTTATTTTTTCTATTCTGTTTTATAGTGCTTACAAAGTCAACACTCAAGTGCCTTGTTTCATCCATTGGTGTWCTYGTGTTATCTTGGATAGCTGCTTTAGTTTTACCTTTAATGGTAGCTGTGCTTCTTGCAAAGACTGGTCACTTGTTGACATGGTTTTGCAGACCATATTTGCTGATTGGACTTTTTGTTTCACCTGCTGTTTTTGGTATGGGACTGGTTCACTATCTTGCAAAAAATTACAACTTAAAGAAAACTTTTAAGGTAATTATTATTAATATAGTTTGATATTCATTTTCAACATTCAACTGATTTTTCATTGTAAAGAAATCAAATTAAATATAGTCAAACTACCAAATAGAACACAATAAAACAAGTTCAACTACAGATATTTTAAGTGGCTTGTGATTTAAACCACAGTTCAGTCATGTTTCATATCATTCTATTGGATGGATGACGTATTAACTTTCACATCAATGGGGCAGGCATGCTCAGGGCAAATCTCTAAGCAAGCACCAGTKGGGATAAAGTACACAAGTTTGAAGTTGTTGGATTTATTAAAATTTGTTTTCTACTTTTGACAGTCTAAATCAGCAGATCAAGAAACCATCTTATCCACATTATGCAAACAAGAAACAGACATGTTTTACTCAACCTTAGCTCTCTGGAATGCACTTCTTGGACTTTTAACCTACAACAGAATTGCTTCTGCACATCTACCTCTTCTAATGGTGGTCTTCCCTCTTGTAATACGTGGTGTAATATGGGAAAAATTTGTCCAGAAAAAAAGCTGTTTATCCAAGCACATAGGGAAATTCATGGCTTGTTATTTAGTTTGTGTTGTGGTGCCACTGTGTCTTACAACKTACATGTTAGTAACAGTAGTTGAGYTATTTATTCCYATTATGGGTCGCAGTGGATCAGACACCATACCTGATCTATTTATAGCTGGGATATTGGCTATTTTAGTTATAATGCAGACATCATATTTGGTAAGTAAATGGTTACTAACTTTGATGTGTAATTAGCTTATTCATCTCATAATTTCCCACCAAAAACAGTAAAAAATTAGAAAAGTGAATGATGTCAATTGTTGTGTGTTTTTTAGATAAGTTTAACTTACATTATTCGTGATGTGAAGTGGCCTGCTTTAYTGCTRGTTGGTTTAACTGTGTCTTCCATTGCTGTATCATTGTCTGGTGTGTCATTCCCATACTCCAGGGAGAATCAATGCCCTAAGAGGTTTTTCTATCAGGTACGAAAAAGGTTCATACTGCTGATTAAACACTGCATGTCTAGCGCCATGTCTCTCATTGATTGGTTCATTTATTCATTTATTCTTATTTCATTTTCAAGGCTTTCTTTTCAATATTTGTCCATACAGTTGTCTTCACATTTTTTTTCCATTTTGCTTATTGCTGTTGCTTTTTGTTGTGGTTCTGTGCGTTATTAATCCATTTGATCATTAATTTTTATTGTTTCATCTGGCCTCCACTGAGAATGCTTACTGCTCTTTGTGTTCATCCTAAGGAATGCAWAGTGAAGTGTTGTCTCTGAGGATGCTCCTTGTCATCCACTGATTTAGCCTCCTCCGCAGATATCTCTTAGAGTCACGGGCTTCCTGTCTTTTTTGCGAGTCAAAAGAGGGAGAATGGGGTTGAGAGAGGGGAGGTGTGTCCTTCGATCCTCTTCTTTTTTCCTTTCTCAGCAATAGTCCCTAGCGGCCGAGGTGACCGTTACAAAGGAAGCCCAAAGGAGGAAAAAATATTTGCCTGGGGAGGAGGCTACCACTGATTTACATATTTCAATCATCCACTCTTTCATTTAAATTCATTTGTTCTCTTCGTCCCATCTATTCATTTCTTTGAAATGTTAAAGATGTGCTAAAATTAAACAAAGAGTTATATAATTGACATTATTGGTATTCAAATCTCTCAAAATAGCATGTGGTTAGAAAGTTTCATGGGACAGATGGTAGCGTGACAAAGGAGGATTCTGGTATATGGGTTAACCCCCTGGATTACACTGGAATAACTCATTTAAGCGATGTYCCACTGATGAAACAAGCTAAGCCCGTTCTTACTAGTGATGGCGTYTATGAAGGCTATCCCTACTATCTTCCTGCTAGAAACTTGTTCAAGTAAATAAACAGATTTTTTATGTGTCTTTTGGTAGGCTTTATGGTTTTTGTCTGCTTGTTTTGTGCGTATAACGTGTTAACATTTAATTTTTTTGGTACTCAGGAAATCATTCTACATTCCTGGTCCGCCTCCAGATGTCAAATCCTTGCATTGGAATTTTAAACTCTTGTCACGCRCCAAAGATGGAAACATCATACGTTTTACTTTCTCGATCGAAGGTAATGATAATCGTTCATGTTTATTTAACTCAAGGATCACTGGGGATCTGTTGGAAACAGGAAGGTGGTACTAAAGCCCTCGTCCTTTTTGCTATTTTTTCTTATGAATTTTCTACGTTCTTCTAACTCAGCCACTTTTATAACCCACCCAACCTTTTTTACAAAAACGTTCTCTTCAAATCTTAGCCACTGTAATTCTTGAATGCAACATCTAGCGTTTAAAGGGATATAGTCCTCCAGCGTTCAGTGCGGTCGTGTTTTCATATATGGTAAATGAGGTGACTTCACATATCCATTCGCAATACGTTTCAATCCATTGGTTATAACATCTCCATTCATAGAGCATTAAGGTATAATAAAGAGAGTAAGTTTTCGCTTATATTACGATGCATTTTTATTTCCAAGCATAAATAAAAGCTCAAAAGGGATGCTGGTGGACCATGTCCCTTTAAAACCCAATGCCCATGGACAAAATCACTCTCGTAGTTAATTTTTTTTTGTACACTGCTCTCTCTCTTGTGTTTGTATTATATATTTTTTGTTTCGTAGGACCAAACCACATGAGCATATATTTTGCTATCCCAAAAGGAGTTGATTTTGTAGATTCATCGATTGGTCAACTCGATTCCACGCATGATCCCGCCAATAGTGACGGTACAACGTACTTTATTTATTATTCCCATGGCACCAGAACTGAACCATGGATTTTTTCCTTAGAACTACAGGTAATTTCTCAGTTAAAACTTAGAAAGCTAAGCTTTCTACTATTAAATTTTCAAATAAAATTGAATTGCTCACCTAACTCGTGTTGAATTTTTACAGGTTGATGAAAATCTTCCCAAGAATGACCGTAGTATGGACTTCGCAGTAGCTGCTCATTACTTGAATGGGAAAGAGTCACGAACACCTTTCCTCAACGAGCTGATTCAGCAATCTCCAGACTGGGTCTTCGCCCACTCATGGGTTAACATATATGAAAGCTATAAGTATACTTTATAAGAGAGAAAGGCCAGTCTATCGAAAATTGGATGCTGTTGGATGAATGTTTTTTAACTGCGTAAGTTGAAGCTTTCGGACAGCTACTATTGCGGATATTTTCCTAGCCACCTTCTAGTGTGCATAAAGTTGGAGTAACACTTGTTGGTGTAGTTGCCTTTGCAGTTTTATTGTGCATCAAAACACAGCGCACAGCCGAGTGCTCTTGATATGTAAAAAAATAACCATATCAATGAGTATTTTAAAATGTTTTTGCCAGAAAAAAGAAGCCAAAAAAAGTTGATGCTCTAGCGTCTCGTGATAAAGTGAAAGAATTGAAAACCAGCACAAACTTCATTTTCTTTTAGCAGAAGACTCCCGCCGGGTCTTTTAAATGTTTTCTGTTTTGCTTCAAGAGTGCGTTATTACCAGAAACAATGACGAACCAAAGAAGATAGTTTTTCAAAGTGTTTTTTGATGATAAATGATGAATTTTAGAAAAAAAAGTTTATGTACTTATCAGAGAAAATCTATTTTTTATTTGTTATTGACTATATTTTTTCATTTGCCTCGTTAATACGTTGCAAGGCCGTTCTAATGTATTTTTTAAGATAACCCGATATTTCAAAGTTGTCGAAGGGAATGGCGAATGGTTTTAGGAGAACGTTATTCTATATGCAATCATTGTTGTGCTTCGCGTAGCATTCTTAAAGCATTATATAGGTACACCGTAAATATTCAATATTACCCGTGATGCCTTTCACGACGCGATAGTCTTAGCTGAAGATCGCCATTTTCTCCGACAACCTCTTTTGCACTCGTCTTGATTACATGTAATTATGATTGAACGTGCTGAATGGGACAAATCATGTAGCTATTCAAAGCTGATATGCTTCAATTAAGAATAGTAAAATAATAAAAGCTTCATCAAAAGTTGTTAGAATTATATGTTTCCTTTTGTCGTTGTAGCGTTTGCGTGCGTGATGAGTAGAAGAATATACTAGAACGGATATTTATAGCATCACGCTAAGCCAATGTCGAGCTCACCTATTCTAAATGGGTTAGAATAGCACTGTTTTTTGTTTTATTTTGTTTTGTTTTGTTTGTTTGTTTGTTATTGTAAAATTAATTGATAGACGAATGAAAATAATACGTTTTTCAAAGAAATAAAATAATATTCATTGTAGATTTTGAGTCAATGTGAGTAAAAACACATGAAGTACACACCCACGACCCCTCCTCTKAATACTTGAGCCTGCGTTCAAAGCCTAACATCCGGGACTTTCATCCCAATTCAAGATGGCGCCGAATTTGTAGTTTTGCAAGAAGAGGAGTCCAACACACGTTTTGAGAAAATACTCAAAATGGTGGAACCGGATGAGAGCTACGTGAAGTCCATGCTTAGCATGGGCTTTGCTGATGCTGCACTTATACGCAGAGCTCTCGTAATCGCCAAGAACGACCTAAATGTTGCTGTTGGCTTGCTAACTGACGACACAGGAAACATGGAGTTGTACGAAGATGCGGAAATGAGGGACACAGAAACACAGCACGGTTCCGACGAAGGAGAGATGGATATACCTTCTTTAGACAATATTAATAAAGACACAGAAGAAGGAGATGTGTTTGAAGACTCATCGGGCGAACCACCTCCATACGACGAGGTTGTAAACACTGGCGAAATAGACATGACGAAAGATAACTCCGAATCTGGACCTCTGGAATTCCCAACAACCCATTTGTATGAACTAGAAGGGCGAGTGTTTGGAGAGAGTTGGTCAATACCTTTTAAGAAGGAAGAATCGCTGGGAAAATGTCTGATTTATTCGACTAGATTCGCAAAGGAAGGTCAGTTTCGTTGAAAGTAACTTTACGTGGTAGAGCCCATTTCAATCGTGAATCACAACCAATGATCAACGTTAGTCACCCATTTAACAAGTGATAGCGGTGACAATGATCACTGAGTAGTTCATAAGTTGTCAAGATTGGTCGATAAAATTAGAATTAAGCAAAAAGAAATTAATTCAAATCCTCTACATTTAACCAGTTTTTTGAGCTTATAGATCGAAAATGTTTAGTTTACGTGGTATGCTTTTACGCTCTTTGCGTATGGTATTATTCATGACAAGGATTTTCTCTTGTTTATAAACAATAGATAAGGCTTAAGCTTGAATACAATCTGTTTGTTTTGAAATCTGTCGAAAGGTGAAAACAGCAAATTTAGTTTAAAAATGACAATATTTATTTCCAGTTACTACTACGTACCATATCTGTATCTGGACTTGCCTGCAGAAGTTGCACACACTTTTTTACCAGTCACAAATTAGTTATCTTCATAACTGTTTTAAAGTTAGGACATGAAACTCAAAAACTTTGTTTGACCTTCAGAGCAGTCCTGATCAGACTTCAAATCAAGACCATTAGCCAGCTATTTGCCAAATAAATTGACCTGGATATCATATTTTTCATAAATCTATACATTGTGCCCATAGTATGTATAACAAAGGCTTTGTGTACATTAAGGACATTAGTCTAATTGTTTTCCTGGACAACATCAATTGGATAGAGTACAAACACTAAAACTGTGCAACATAAATATCACTAAATACTTCTAAATTATGCTAATTCTATTGTTTTCTATTGTTTAATTAACAACACTATTTTGTAGTAAATAGTAGAAAGTTTTGCACACATTTAATGTTTGTACTCTAATTTGTGTGGGAAGTGTTGATGGAGGGATAAACTTTAGCCTTCATGTCACAACTATGTTGTATGTGCTTGGAAACCTTGATATATCAGACATATGTACATGTTCATACAGTGAAAAATGAAGGTTTGCTCTAAAACTGAGGGTAACAAAAAACAAACGAAACCAATCATTTTTTTTTTAGGATTAGCAGAAGCAGATGAGAATTGTAAAAGATTCATGGATAGGGCATTACCAGAATGCTTCAAAAAGGTCAGTACATTGAATACTGTCTGCGTGCTGTACTGCATACTGTACTACAAGACCACAATGTATTGTTGATATTAACTAAGTTAACTGCATTACAAAGTAACCATTCTAAACTTAATTGCTTTCCATTGAAGTACTTGACTGTAGCTGGTATAGTCACTCTGAAACTACATGTATGAAAACTCCTTTTGAATGGCAATAGAAAAAGCAACAACTGATGCATACTARTATCAGACTTGGAACACACCATACCTTATCAGTAGAGTGCAAGTCACATAAGCATGAAACAATTCTTAATTATGTAGTGCTAAATAAGATTTAGTTATCAACTAACTAAGAATTGAGAACAATGCTACTGTACAAAGGAATTTAAATAATTGGCATTGTGTTTATGCTTTGTTGAATTCTTAGTTAGTTGATAACTAAATCTTATTTAGCAATACATATTAAGAATTGTTTCATGCTTATGTGACGTGCACTCTATTCAATGGTTTTTGTAATAGCTGTATTATCAGAGGAGAGTAATAATATAGCAAATGCGGCAGGATACTGACTGTTAGATGGTAAATACTTAACTTTAGATAAAGTTGAGCTTTTGCTGTTCTACAGCATCATCAGGACTGATGCATTTGCTATATTATTATACTCTCCTACTAACATGCTGCTAAAGGATAACTTCTCAAGATTGTATAATCAGAGGTTGATTATTCTTTTCTTTTTTTATGCCATACATGTATATAGTTGCTGACGTCTTCAGCTGTCCAGCAGTGGAATCCACAAGTACAGGAGGGTATTTACGACATGCTGTGCTTGTTGATTGACTTGATTGCAGTCAGACTCAAGTATACACCTCCTCCTTATGGTCTCTTGCAAGTTCTAACACAGGTAATTCAAATAATTAACAATCACTCCTGCATCAATCTTAATGAATATGGGAATTACATGCAACAGTCATAATTCATAAACTTTTTGAGGCTTACCGGAAAAACGTGCTCTCAATAGTTCTGAGACCATGTTGTACATGTAACGGTTATTCATAGAGATATAAAACATGGTCTTGTTGGCTGATGACTGTGTTTGTAAAAGAGTTTTGAGACAAATCCATAGTTAGCTGATTCKTTGCTAAAAAATAAAAAAAAAGCGTCTTAAAGAAAATTGTAAAAAAATCGTCTTCTTAGGGCATCTGATGGAACATGCAGGTGCAGAATTGCATTCTGGAATAAATTCTGTACCTTCTGCATCCTTAGCATAATTTCTGTTCAGTTTCAATCATTCTCATGAGATTCAAAAGAAAATGAAAACAGCGGCCATGTTGAAAGAATGAACATTTGATTTACTAAATGAGAAAACCAAGATATATATTGCAAATAAAGAATAAAGTTGCTTATTATACAATGTTTTACCAATGAAACAAATCTCCATCTTTCTCTTCAGGCATTTGACCCAGACACAGAGTTTCAATTCAAGAACAGAACAAGACAATGGAATAAAACATACTATGAAGAACTGTTTGGAATAGACAAATGTTATGCTGTGAGCCCGCAGAATTCCTACTATTCTTCTGATAAGGTATGGTAGAAGTGTGAAGTATTTGAAAAATCTACAATCAACCAATGCTTGTTACAACTCCTCTCTTCCCCTCCCCCCCAGAACAAAAACTCCCTACATGTACCTTCCCCTCCCCCCTAGAACAAAATAACCMTACCTTCCCCTCTCTTCAAACATTGTTGTTAGCAACTAAAGAGTCTCTAACATTATTATTTTTTCGTCTAGGATCCATATGGTTGGTTGGTGAATATCATAAACAGGGTAAAACTATAAGATTTATATTTTACATGTATATTATGCTAAAACAAACGAAATTCAGTTTAATATAAGAAATTCAGTTTAAAATATTTATGAATCTTTCCTTTTTTTTGTTCTTGTTTACACTGTAGTTTGCTGAAAAAGGTGGCTTTGAGGAGATTTGCAAATTGATTGAATCTGAAGARAATGTCACTGCACCAGTAAGTTGAAAATATACAGTTTAATTTGAGCATTGTACCTTTGTAAATGTTACACAAACRTTTGTAAATTAAGACAATTAATTCAATAAAATTCAATGTAATTTCAGATGCTGTCAGCTTTATTGAAACCAATTGGAGTTTGTGCTGCTTACCTAAATGTTCAAGTCATTCCTGTAAGTACATTTATTTAGTTTAAGAAGAATTTTAATACATGTCAGCCATCTCAATCTKCTATCAGTAGTTTTCATTGACCTTTAACTATTATTACATTTTATTTTGCATGTTTTTCTTTGCACTTTCTCTGTTACACTTTGCTTCAAGGGTTGAAAAAGTTTAGCAACAATTTATTTAATTTTTATAAATTTAGTGATTAAAGATAAAATAAAAATTATTTAATATTTAATTTATTCTCTAATTATACTATATTTCTATAATTTTTGTTGCTTTGGCTTTGTTTAGGTTGTTTTTAGCAATGTTTTTGAGAAGAATATTGCATACATCCAAGAGCTCAGTGATGATAATATGAAACAAAAGGTACAGTGAATGTTTTGCTATGAAATTTGCTTGTAAATGGGGAATAAGCAGAGCTCTCCATACCGTGGCCATTAGAAACACTACCAGCTCTTCATCTTTTGTTTCTTTTATCTCTTGATTTTATTTCTGTCTGAATATGTTATTATAAGCAAGAATACACTTTACAAATACTATTTAATTATTACTCTACAAAGAACRCTGTTTATTTTTTTCCTACTTTATTTTTTTGTAATTATAGGAAGTCGGTAAAGTGTTTGACTTGTTAACAACCTTAAAACTACTCTGCATGAGACTCTGGCACAAGGAGGTTCCAGGAGTGGATGAGCTAAGGCTTGAAGTTGCATTGAAGATGCTGAAAACACCACATTTTAATGCCAAAATGAATTCCCTCAAAGAGGTGTGTTACTTTGTATATTTACTGTCTTTTGCATTACTGCACATCCAACGTAAACAGAATTGACMGCTTGCAATTTGCGTTAGGATGCTGTCCATTGAAATTTTCAAACAAACTGTCAGTCTGTGCTTGAATACTTTTATGTTTTTCATGCTGTTTCATTGCTTTGCTCTCAATAATTATTTCATAGTGATTTATTATTGTTTTTCTAGGTCTGTAAGCTGATAGATGACTCAGAAAGACACAAGAATAGTAAACTCAGTATACCACAACAGACTCTYTTTGATTGGCTTCTTCAAAACAAAGTTCTTTCCATTGCATTTGAAAGTAAGTAAAACGGCCCACAGMATTTCTTGAAAGGCAGGTCAGAATTTCACCTTGATAGGAAACAGCTGTTGTTTTTGAAAGTTGATGACAAGAATTTTGAATTATAAATTACATTGCAGTTTCAAGCAAACTTCAACATTGTATTCTCAAATAATACTAGTTTTTCTTTTATAGCTGACTAGAATTTTGAATTGTGAATAATTACATTTACCTTGCAGTTTTAAGCAGACTTTGTCATTGTACACTCAACTAATACTTGTTTTGTTTTGTTTGTACCTAAAGGTAATTTGCACCAGTCTCAATATTGTGATCGACTCAAGGTTCTTGTAGAGTTTCTKGGCATGAGGCTTTCCTTGGATGAACTCACGACTATCTGGAAAATGCAGGTACAGATTGATATTTACTGCTCAGACTAAGATTTCCAATATTTTATTCTGCTTGTATTATAGATATTATAAATTTGTGTATTGCTTAATTCATGTGTTTATTTTGCTAGTTTGGAAAGCATCCAACAGAAGTGGATAATATTCATAATATTCTTGCTACGGCTGCTGTGAGGTTTCATGCAAATCAGCTTGATCATCTCTTTATTCTGATTCAACAGGTAACATTTTGTATTCATCCTTCACTCTCTCCCTCCTTCCTCCCATCCCTTCTTCCTTCCTTCCTTCCATTCTTCCATGCTTCTTTCATGTTTTCCTTCAACCTCGTCCCCAGGGCCATTCGGCCGACTCCTTTTCAAGATGGCGGTCGTCGAGGAGATGACCCTGGCGTTCGCTGAACTAAGCCGCTTTCTGATTGGCTATTCAAAATGCCTTTTCTTATATCACTCATTATTGGCTGTTTATGTTTGTCTATATGTCGGGGTGTGTTCGACACTGTCGGTATGTCCGGACAATAACCGTTAGGTCTTTGATCGGTTATTGATTTAACCGTTACGATGCGTTCATTGTTTTTATTCAAAAATTCCCGAAATTTAATCAAGGTACGTTTTGTCGATTAAAAAGCAACGATATTCTTTGGAATTCTTGTCAGTTGTCCTCTTATGTCTCTTTTGTCCAATGCATGGTTTTGAGATGCCAACTACTCGTGTAAGAAATTTGACTTGACGGATATATTTAGCGATAGCATTCGATGTTATAGAAGTCTTCTACTCGCCGATTTCTGCAGTGAGCGGATCCCTCAAGAATTCTAGAATGAACTGGATCTACTCCCGTAGGCGGTCTAGGGGTCAACACTGCCGATGACGGCAGGACGGAAGGACATTTTTCAAATAAATCATCAAAGCAAATACCGACCCACCACAGCTATCCCAGTTTGTGAAACCGTTGAGTTCACGTTTCGTGCGCCATTTTGAATAGATAAGCCACGTGATCAAAACCTCCAAAAATCTTGGAGGTTTTGATCACGTGATTCCAGCCAACGCCAGGGTCATCTCCCCGACGACCGCCATCTTGAAAAGGAGTCGGCCGAGATGGCCCTGGGGACGAGGTTGGTTTTCCTTCCATTCAATACCTCCCTCCCTCCCCTTGCAAATAATGACCAAACAACTACCCACCGGTTTCTCTTTATAGGTTTAGTCCAACAATAACCATTTACAAAACTAACTACATGTACATGTTTCTCACAGAGTTGGGAAATTGAGAATGACAGGATGAAAGAGAAACTACTGTTCCTCATTGGGCGCATCGGCAAGGAAGCCAGAGTTGGGAAAGTCACAACAAAAGTCCTAGACCTGCTCTGGAGTCTATCACATCTCCCTTCACTGACGACAGACATGGTAGACCAGGCTTTAAGATCACACATTGATATCTTGAGTGACTCATTTGCAGTCAAGGAACAGATCAAGAAGAGTTACGCTGTAAAGTGTGTGGAGGATATTAAGAAGGGAGTGTGGATAGTGCCGGCAATACGACAGTTATTAAAGATTACTAGAGGGATGATTAAACAACAATA